TCCATATTTACTAGCTATATCGGGGGCTACACAATGGCGTCAAAACATAGCTCCATATTTACTAGCTATATCGGGGGCTACACAATGGCGTCAAAACATAGCTCCATATTTACTAGCTATATCGGGGGCTACACAATGGCGTCAAAACATAGCTCCATATTTACTAGCTATATCGGGGGCTACACAATGGCGTCAAAACATAGCTCCATATTTACTAGCTATATCGGGGGCTACACAATGGCGTCAAAACATAGCTCCATATTTACAAGCTATATTGGGGCTACACAATGGCGTCAAAACATAGCTCAATATTTACTAGCTATATCGGGGGCTACACAATGGCGTCAGAACATAGCTCCATATTTACTAGCTATATTGGGGCTACACAATGACGTCAAAACATAGCTTTATATTTACTAGCAATATCGGGGGCTACAGAATGAAGTGGAACATAGAACGCTCCAAATTTTCTAGTTATATTGAGGCTGCACAATAAAGTCGGAACATAGAGAAAGGGCTTCATATGTAAGAACATAGCTCCATATGTAAATTATTTACTGGCTATTTGGGGAGGGGGGATGAAGAAGTAAAATAAAACCGCCTAGCTTAAAGAATGTAGAGGAATGCGAACACAAATCCTCCTCTTTTATCGAGATCGCGGGAGCCACTAAACCAATTCCTGTGGCAAAGGAAAATACCTCCTCCCCCTAAATTAAGACCCTCGAGTAAAGACTGTGACTGCCGGGGCAAGACCTGGGGGGGGGGTGTATTTTTCTCTTACGGTCAGTAGAATGTGGATGCTGTGGTGTTATTTAGGCTGTCGTGATAGAAATGTCACGGGTATCTGGCTGCACTGTTCCATCATGTATTAGCAGATAGGTCGTATATAACTGTTCTGTTGTATCATGGATGTTCTTATTTATCTTTTATCTACGTACAAATGAATGTTCTGTTGTACCATTTACCTACGGACAACTGATTGTTCTGTTGTACCATTTATCTACGGACAACTGATTGTTCTGTTGTACCATTTATCTACAGACAACTGATTGTTCTATTGTATCATTTATCTACGGACAACTGATTGTTCTGTTGTACCATTTACCTACGGACAAATGAATGTTCTGTTGTACCATTTACCTACGGACAACTGATTGTTCTGTTGTACCATTTACCTACGGACAACTGATTGTTCTGTTGTACCATTTATCTACAGACAAATGATTGTTATGTTGTACCATTTATCTACGGACAACTGATTGTTCTGTTGTACCATTTATCTACAGACAAATGATTGTTCTGGTGTACCATTTATCTACAGACAAATGATTGTTCTGTTGTACCATTTATCTACAGACAAATGATTGTTCTGTTGTACCATTTATCTACAGACAACTGATTGTTCTGTTGTACCATTTATCTACGGACAAATGATTGTTCTGTTGTACCATTTACCTACGGACAAATGATTGTTCTGTTGCTACCATTTATCGATTTTTTATCGATGAACAAGAACCACTATCTATATACTACTAAAACTCAACTTTGTTTACATGTTTGAATATTTATTTGTTTGCCTGATCGAAAATTGTGATATGTTCGACTCTATCTGGAAAGCTGTAAAATGGTATGCAGGTAGAGAATAATTTTTTAATGCAGACAGACTGTTGATCACAAATTTATTTAAAGACGTTAATTAATTTATTGATTTATTCCTACGCAGAATAACCCATTTTTTTTAAAAATATTTGAAAAGCCACTAGACTCGGCGGGACCGTGACGTCACAGGTTTTTGTTTACTCTTTAGTACAATAAAATGGCGGCGTCTATTGAAGAAAATTGTGTTCCCATTCAAAAGTTTAACGCGTTCTAAATCTAATTTTCTGTCGGTCATAACTTTAACAATACGTCCGTTTGCTGTATTTATTACGTTCCAACACTTATATCAATTTTCAACTGTCTTTTTCATTTAGTTTTACGATAAATTTCTCTAGATCTAAAGATCAGCTATCGAAGGAAATTTATGAATCTAGCCTAGATCTAGATCTAGCCTAGATGTAGGTCACTAGATTCAATGTAAATTCTACATCTAGAATCTATTTCAGGCCTTAATTATTTTATATAAATCTTTGTTTGGCTTATTTAAGATAAAATTTAATTTGAAAGTTAGTACTACTAGACTTATTTTTAGATCTAGATCTAGAATCTATACGCGTAAATCAAGTTGCATAAGGAGACACATAGTATAGTTTAAAAATTCACTTGTGACGTCACGAGTAAATAGCTAAAATGGTAGCGTAGTCAGCTCTCATGCAGGAGGCACGGGTTCTAGACCAATATGTCAATGAAATTTTTTTTTTCAATTTTTTTTTTAGATGTGAATGATAACGTTGCCTATCTGAACTTGGCAAGATACAGGGCAGGTGAAGTAGAGTTCATCTGTTTCTTTGTCCTAAGCATATGAAAGGATAGTGTGGTCAGATACATGCTCGGCTGGAATTGTTTTTTAAACGATAAAAACATGTTGTCTGAGACTTGGCAGGACACTGGGCAGGTGAAGTAGAGTTGAGTAGGTCACCTGTGACGTCAGTTTATGAAGGGATAGTCCGAAATCGGTGTTTTCGGTGTTTTTAAAAGATAAAAAAACATATATTTGAATGTGGGGTCTGTTTTTTGTGACGATAAGTGACACTGCAGTAGCGTACCGAGGAGGGGGGGGGGGGGGCGGTAGGGGAGGGGAGGCGGGGGGTGGGGAGGGGAGGCGGGGGGTGGGGAGGGGAGGCGTGGGGAGGGGAGGCGGGGGGGGGGGGGGAAGGGGGGGGGTGGGGAGGTGGAGGGGGGAAGGGGGGGGACATATGTTGGGGCGCCAAAATGGTTTGGAAAAATAAATTGATAGGTTGAGGGGGGTTCAAATCGAAAGTTTGAGTGGGGGGGGGGGGGGTGCACATCAAAAGTTTGAGGGGGGGGGGTTCAAATCGAAAACTTTGTCCCCGGGCGCCGGGAAGGGTCGCTATGCCTCTGAGTGACAGACGTGATGTTTTTTGATGGATGACCCCCGAAACCCACAGTTATCCAACGGATGACGGGTATTCTAGTTTCTTTTAAATGGTACCGCCGAATCCGGTATTACAGTAAAATTAAAGTAACCGCCGCTTGTAGAACGGCACGGTTTAAGGCCAAGGTGTCAACATCGACAAATACTAGCTTGTTAAATATGTAGATGTGGCTAACTGACTGGTATCTATTGATTACATACAGCAGAATTCAGAACAAAATTTATTAATTTTCCGGAATGGATTGCTGTTAAATTCACGTTCGCAAGCTCATCTAACCCTACCCATCAATGCTCTCAAGTTTAGGCCTAAATCTCGTAATGCCGCGGTATTGCCGATTGGTGTACGCTATTACGGAAAAGCGCCACAATCTATGGAACGCGTTTAGCAAAAAAAAAAAAAAAAAAAAAAAAAAAAAGTTATAGAAATATGGAGCTAAGCCCCATACCACAACACTGTCGGCTAGTAACCGTGATGCGATGGCATCAGACAGCTGAAAAACGAACAAGCTTATCTACCACACGGCCATCAAACTGACCAGTTACGAGGGGGGACAGGGGGGGGGGGGACATTGTGATCGATTCACGCTACCTATGCATTATTAACAGGAAGCGCTCCTCTACGTTATCGCTTCGCGCACGTGCATACAGAAACTAATTGGGACAGAGGTGGGTAGATGGGAAAAAAAAATATTAAAATACTGAAGAAGAAAATGAACAGGTCTTCACCCGCCTTCTGTAAGTGAAGGAAAAAAATAGGGTGAAGGTAAGAAATCAATGAGAGAAGGCGGCCGGTGAACAAACGCTGATGGTCCCGTCCGCCAAGTTCGACACCACTCAAGGCCCTTTATTAATTACTGGAATTTTGGCCATCAAGAGAGTGGCCGGGAGGGAAAGAGGAGTTGAGTTAGAAGGTTATAGCTATGGTGACATGCATGTGGGGATAAGCTATCTCAAATAACGTTGAGTTAGAAGGTTATAGCTATGGTGACATGCATGTTGGGATAAGCTATCTCAAATAACGTTGAGTTAGAAGGTTATAGCTATGGTGACATGCATGTGGGGATAAGCTATCTCAAATAACGTTGAGTTAGAAGGTTATAGCTATGGTGACATGCATTGTTGGGAAAAGCTATCTCAAATAACGTTCTGGAGGTGGGTTTTTTTATATATATAATTGAATGAAATTTATAAGTATATGAGCCTACAGGCTACACCTGCTTTAATCAATTAAAAATACTTCAAGTAACTAACATATTTTTAAAACAAACAACAACACCACATTATAGGTTAAATCATAATTTGTATTGTTCTTTTGTTTAGATTTTAAATCTAAAAATTAAATACTACAAACTGGACAAAAGTCATGATTTATTTTAACACACAGAAAAATACACACTAAACAAACAAGAAGCAAGACATTGAGAGAAAATATGTTGGTTCATGCAGAGTAATACAGGCAGCAAGTTTGTTTAAACCTGTTTAAAGTATATTACACACTTGAAAAATCTATAGACTTAAATGTAGACTTGCTTGTTATTGAATACATGAGGAAAAATGATGTGAATCTTCAACACATGTTACGCTTCTGTTTGACTGAAGGTAACGAGGCAAGATCTAATGGGGCATGCAGTAGTTTATTGAATTTCTAAGCTTATTTTCCATTCAATGACAACAAAATAAAATTACCATTTACAATAATCTGGATTGTGTTTATTGAAGCAGAATAATTATTTTTTAAAATCAAGATTTTGATTATGAGTTGGTTTGAAAATATGAATTCCCCGATAAACAGAAAGAGAGGAACTTTGAAAAAGAAAAAAAAATTGTTGTGTTATCTCATGACATATTCATATTTAAACCACAGATAGACTTGAATGGACATGGCACTTTGCATTGCTTGTAGTGCAGCATACTAGACAGTGTTAAAAAAAAGGGTGAGTCTTACCTTAACTGAGACTTTGTTACAAACAGCTTTGGTAATCCTAAGCCAAGTGGGCAGCTCTAGCAACTGAGTTAAAATATCCTCATTTAGTTCTAGGTTGGAGAGTTCTCCTTCACCCTTCAGTGTGCTTAGGTTAATTTTATCAGCAGACAGATTTTTAGTAAACCTGGAATATGTATGTTTATATATTTCACATGTGTTTATTTATATTTACACAAATAGTGATTTAGCTCTGCATCTTCATACTATACCTACACACTTATTTGGAAAAATAGTGCAGCACATTTAGATATACACAAACGGTAATGTACCTATGCATCTTTGTACTACATATAGACCTATACATATATAGAAAAATAATGCTGCACACCCCATTCTGCCATGGAACTGTATAGCCTTTATGTAATCTGTGTGTAAATTATTGTATGTGTATATTACTTAGGATTGATAACAATTATTAATTAGCCAATACATATATTGGCTAAATATCAATCCTAAGTGGCACAAGAGGAAAAACACTAAATACTATAAAGAGCTGCACAACAAGGAAACCCCTCATAAATGTATTATTCAAACATAAAGGTTACAAACCTTGCAGTTATTAGTACAATATATAATTAGATCTATAAACTTTCCAGACAAGGCATTTGAGACCATTACAAACAGTAAGTTATGGAATGTTTTATTTTGAATAGACAAAAGAGAATTAATATGATAACATACATTGAGATAAAAAGAGCTGTTCAATTCAGGAAATAAGCGTGGACATCTCTGCTAGAAGATCTAAATCCTGATCATGAAAAATCTACAGAATCTACTCAGATCTAATGAATCTTTTATCCCCTCTTCACACCCCCCCCCCACACACACACACACAAAGGCAAAGAAAAAGAGGCCTGATTCTAGAATCTAGATCTAGATCTAACTAAAATATGATAGAAATCTAGATTCTACTAATCTACATCTAGATCTATGATCTCCTCTTCGGAGTCTCCCTCATCACCTCGCCTCATGATCTTATTGGCAGTTTTAGTAATATAAGCCATAAGGTAAGGCCCTACCTAGGCCTAATAAAATTATCTTTGATAGGCCGAAATCTAGATCTAGATAGATCTATTTTCTAGATTAGATATCTAGATTCTAGATCTACTCTAAGACTCTAAGAACTTAAGAAGATAAGATTCTTTAAGATTAAGACTTAAGACCATAATAATATAATAATTTAATCTTGAGTTTTACCAAGTTTACTAAATTTTTTAACTCCAGATATTTACTAGATCTAGAGTCTAGTCTAGACCAGTCTTACTAGACTAGAGTCTATAAAAAATAAAGCTAGACTCTAGACTTCTCTAGTCAGTTTATTAGTTATAGATTCTATAGTTAGACAACAAGTTACTCTTACTCTGTTAGTGTAAATAGTAAATAGATCTAGAGGTCTAGATCTAGATCTAGCTAGTGTTGTATAGATCTCAGATCTGTCTGTTACTGTCAAGTGTCAAGTTATTGAAGTTAGACCTAAAAATTTTAAAATTAGAAAATAAAAGTAAGAAAAACACTCACTTTGACAAATGTTTTAAGATTTGATTTTTCAACAAAGCTGCCATATTTCAAATATCTTTAATGTATCTATTCAAATTCATTAAATATAGTCTAGACTATTCGATATCTAGGTATTCCGAAATCGAGAAGATCTAGATTTCTAGTTATTACAGAGACTAACATTTCCTGTCGCTAAGTCTGCCAGATATGACACCAAGAGTTATCGGACCTAGCCCTGTTTGTATAGCGCCATTTGTAATCAATAATTCTCTTACAGCGTGAAAAAATGTAACTACCATAAGTAATAATTTAATGGAAATATCCTATAATTTAAAAATAAATAAGATACATTCCCTTCATCAATTACAAAAATGTTTTAAAGCTTTAAAGCCAATAAGGAATCATATTTGTTTTACAGCTTAACTGAATATAAGCGATCAGGAAAAAGTAACTCCAAGCGCCTAAAGCAATTATTTATGAGGCCCTTTTAATTTACTTATCAGTAAAATACCAATCTATTGATTATTTGTGCATTTAACAAAGTAACGTATTTATTACTTTTTGTGGTAAATTGATGTGTATTTTGCCATTTTATATTTTGAGTATTTTAAAAAATAAAATAAGTATTGATTATCCCTTAGAGTGCCCACAACAAAAATGTAACAAGGAAATGACATCAGGCTCCTTTATTGATTTTTTGTTGTCTGTGGATGCTTTTTGTACCATGGCTGGGCTTTAATTCTACGAAGATTTACGTTTGTATATGGGTATGGTACTTTAAAATCAATCAAAACATATGAGGTTATTTTAATTTTTTAAACAGATGAAGTAAATAAGAGTGAAAATATTCCATAAGGGACCACACAAATCCTTAGGCCTAAAGTTAAATTATTAGGGGCCTAAGCCTTAACAATACAATTAATAAATCCTTTAGACTTTAGGCCTACTTCACTACTTCAGTCTATTACTATTACTTCTATACTATGGACTCTACTAGCCATCTATATTCTATAAGATTTATTTTATTGTGGCCTTGATGTAGGATGGCATGATCAAGTGTCTAGTACTAGATCTAAATAATATTTAATAAATCCTAGGGCCTATGAATTAATTAATAGATCAATGTATGTATGTAGGACTATTCTTAGTCATTAGGTTTTGTAAGCTATATTAATGTCATTATAACTCAAGTTAACTACTTTGTAGCCATCGAACATATAATTAGGTACTAATGTTAAAAAGGAGACAGACATTTGACAAGGACTTATTTTTGTTTTGAATTAGCACTTCGGCAGGCCATTTGTGATTGTAGCACGACTTAAAAGCCTCATAGCCTCATAGGTTGTGATTACTACTAGTCTTTAAATCTGTATTATTTCTAAATATTCACCTACTACCTACCTTGAGGCACAAATCAATGAAAAAATAAGTTACATATCAGGCCTAATGCTTTTTTTCTCACTTTATGTTTGTTCGCATAACTACGCAAACCTAATCAGAACTCTTTCTCAATTCTTAATTTGATCCTAACATTAAAGTATTTATAGCTCTTACCCTCACCTAAATGCTACATAAAGAAATAACTAAATGCAATGCTCTATTTTTATGCTTGCATTTTTATGAAAACGTAAATTAAAACTGCCAGGTTCAACAAGGGCAACTCACATAGCAGTATAAACATAATGCCAGGGCGAAAGAAAATGTTGATATTGTAGACATTTATATTTTAAAAATAGATTAGCATTGAGTTAACAATGCTATGATATGTCCTTGAAACGCCTGATGTGGAGGATTAATACCTCATTTAAAAAGCTTAGTTTATTAACTAGAGTAAGGTTTGGATTAGCTACTGTTATCCACTGTATAAAATCAAGGTGTTAAATTGCAATAAACCTTTCTTTTATTTGTTTAACTGGAGGAGAGGACTATCATTTAGTTTTTATATAAAAAGAACAAACTTTAGGATATTGGGACTTAAATATTTTAAATATTGTCAGGATAAATTTAATATTATTGAGTTCGAAGAGTTTGCCACATGCCATCAAGCAGTTAGCTTTAATCCACCACATACCTTTTATAATTATTTTAATTTTTGGTGATATAGCATGTTATATTACTGAAGTAGATCAATATTACAGCTAACCAAACCATTTTGCACAACATAATCTACATATTGGTGTGTTGTCAATAAATGTTTTAAAGCATTTGGGATTGAAATAACAGCTGTTCTTTAATAACAATTATAATTATGTGAAAAATGGCTAAAAAACAAGTCCAGTGGCTTACATCATCTATCATTTAAAGCATTAACCTAACGTTGGGGGTCATCCATTTATGATGTACACACGGGGGGGGGGGGGGGGGGGGGGGGTCAGAAAAAAATTGACTTTTGTAGAGGCGTGTGGGCTTTTAAAAGGGAATTAAGTGGATTTTTGTAGACATCAGGGGGGCGGGGTCCAAAATCGGAAAAATATTTGTGGCCATCATAAATGGATGACCCCTTAAAAAACATGAAATATTTTAAAATGACAAAAATTAATCATCTGTAAATACCTGACTATTAAAATGTTGTTTGTTTTTTCTTTTATCAGTATTAATAATTTCCAAACATATATTAAAAGAAGAACAATTATTTTTCAGCTTTGGGTAGTATCCTTAAAGGTATCCTCAAAATATGTACTTAAAAATAAAACTAATAAAATCATGTAACAATGCAGAGATGAGAAAAAATACAACCCACTACTGTTAAAAATAAGTACTTAACATAAAATATACATGTCAAGATTTGATTATACACAATTCTTCATCCTGAGTGGAGTAAACATTTCTTTGCTTCTCTGCATGTTTTGGTTTACCTTTAACAAGTTTAATTCATGTCATCCATTTGACATTTTAGTGGGGCTAGGTTTAACATTGTTAGAGAGAAATATGAGCCTGAGAGATTCACTGTTTACCATGCTGGTAACAGCCTGGTCTGCTTTAGCTTAATAGAGATCATGCTTTAGTACTATGTTCTATATTTTTGTTTTAGTTTGTTTTATTTATGTTTCTGTATGGTATATTGTTAAAACAGTATGATAGCCTGAGAATATTTCACTCACATTCCATTTTTTTTTTATTGTGGATCACCTGATTTGATTGCTATGGTTATTTATTAATTTAGGGGGATCACTGTAAACATTACTTCACACAATTTTTGGGGGGATCACTGTAAGCATTACTTCATCCAGTTTTTAGGGGATTACTGTAAGCATTACTTTATCCAGTTTTTAGGGGGACCACTGTAAGCATTACTACTTCACCCAGTTTTTAAGATTTAGGGGGATCACTGTAAGCATTACTTCACCCAGTTTTTGTGATTTAGGGCAGGGGTCGGCAACGTGCGGCTCGCGAGCCGCATGCGGCTCTTTTGATATCAAGATGCGGCTCTCCAGCTCCTTGCACAAATACTAATAATCTTAATAAAAAAATAAAATATTTGAAATAAAAAAAATGTTAGTGGCTCTTTAAAAGCAGGGAAATTTTTAAAATTGTAACTTTTGGCTCTTTCGCTTCAAAAGGTTGCCGACCCCTGATTTAGGGGGATCATTGTAAGCATTACTTCACCCAGTTTTTATGATTTAGGGGGATCACTGTAAGCTTTACTACATCCAGTTTTTAAGATTTAAGAGGATCAATGTAAGCATTACTTCACCCAGTTTTTAATACTTATCTTTGAGCAAAAAATACTTGGCTGTGTGAAGGGTATCTTAACTGATTACATTAAGTAAGGGAAATTTTAAATCAAGAGTAACTTAGTTCTTTCATTTGCCTAACTTCAGAAATAGGTGAACTCTACTTGACCCTCAAAAAGCAGGTGTAAATTTAATCAATGACTGCTCTTAGCAGCATGCTGTAATCTACTTTATTTTTCTTTATTAATAAATATAAAGTTAATATAATCCTATCTGTATCAGCCAACAAAATTAAATTGAATTATCCCCCTTTCATTAAGTCTTACACGTCTATTTTTATACAAAGTAAAACTCACGTTCAAGTTTTCTTCTAGACCTACACTCTATACCTAGATCCATGTAAAGTTTAGTTTAAAATGTGTTAATATTTATTAAGAGTGAAACTATTATTGGTCAGATTGTTCTTTCTTCGGCTGATAAATCGTAAATACTTGGCTTGCCACTTCCACCCTATTACCGTGTTAAACCGTAAATCGTTAGTGTTGAAAATGTGCCGTTCCAGTTTAAAAGTAAATTCTCTAGATCTAGAGATCTAAAATATTTGTCTAAGTAATTTGAGTTGTGGTTGTTGTAACTTTTAAAGAGAAGTAAAAATTAATGAATAATTAATAGGCCTTGTTTGTTTATGTTTTGAAAGAAAAGTATTTCAGCCTTACGCTACTAGATCTAGATCTACACTAGATCTAGATCTAGATTCGACTTCTACATTCAAGACACTATCGACTCGTATCGAGGCCCTAGGGTCAAGTTTCCATTTTTTTTTCATTAGCATATTTATCTAGTTAGGCCCTATGACCATGTTTAAGAAAAGGGAACTTCTTCACTGTGGATCTGTATTTGAATTATATATTCTTCTTTTGTTATGCATCACTTTAGTTTAGACTAGTAGAATCTAGATCTAGATCTAAATCAAATAATTCGAGTTTGTAACATGTTTTACCGTTAATATCATTACGAAAATTAAAAAATGAATTTTCGTATTCGTCAACAATCGCAACTATTCGCGTTAAATGTGAACTCCTGTGACCTAGATTGGAAATCCCCTAGTTATTTATACATTTTTCCCCATTCTTTATTTTTCTGCGCAAGTGGTACTAAATATAGACCTGACATAATTCAAGGGGAACAAGTAATTGGAGCTGGTAAAACATGTCATTAATGTAATTGATGGCCTTGTTTCTTCTTACTTCGTGGATACACTAGTCATACGGCACGGCTACTGTTAAATTTGCTCCTGTAACTTTTTTCTTGTGACAATATACAAATTACAAATATAGATGGCTGTTTCTGTAAGTACTAAACTAGAAATAATGTTTTATTCGCGTTTCTCCCCTCCGTGACCAGGTAACCTTTCTAGACGCAATGAAGTAATGATAAACGGCAAACGGGTAGGCCGCTTAAACCGAAAGCGTGTAGGATAGTATTAATAGATCTAGATTTCTAGACTAAATTTATGTAGAATCTAGATCTAGACTCTACTCTAGAAACTCTAGATGTATCATAGTGTAGACCTAGATCTAGACGTGTGTTGTTGACAGTTGGTTTTTTGTTTGTTTCGTAGTAGCTAAATCTTTTAGTCATAACCAGTGACTGTTAGAAGTTAGCTTAAGGATTTCAGTTTCATAATATTCAATATTATTAATCATTAATTGATTTCCTTGCACAATGCACATAGATATCTAGATCCCTCAATTAATATTAGGGGCCTATAGTCTATAGGCCTAATAGATATAGGTCTAATTGTAAACAATACATTTTTATAGGATACTTTTTTAATATTGTCTGAGAATATTTTCCATAATATGGCAGTTTAATATAAATTTATTTGTTGTCAATTTAAATAATTGTTAAATATATTGTAAGTGGAACAAATGGACTGATAATATTAATTACTACTATTGAAGTCAGATGTTATGACAAATAAGGAAACAGGTGAACTCTACTTCACCTACCCCATAGTGAGGTAATGCTTACAGTGAAGTAATGCTTAAGGTTCAAAAGGGTGCTTTACGTTGTCAACAAAATGATAATTTTTAAATTTTATTTTTGAGAAGGAACATAATAAAATAAATAAATTACATTATCATTGTTTATTGTTTAATCAACAAAAATGTTCATATTTCCTTTTGTTTCCTTGCAGAAAATACCAACATTTAGGATGGGTTGAAGTTAAAAGCTGGTAGTTCCCCCCCAACAGCAAGTGGAGACCCAAAATACCATTTCTACCTCACCTATTTATTCATTCTACCAGCCTTTTCCACAACTTCAACATTTTATAAAAATTCTACACTACATTATGAATGCAGGAAAAAATTGCCGTCATTGTCTGGACATTGCCATATTTTTATAAATATAATAGGACGACTATTTTTTACAAAAAAAAAAGCTCAGACTGCCACATCTCAGGATAAACTGCGCTTTCTGCCATCTTTAACATTGGTGACCATCTTACCAGACAACATTGAATACCCTAGTGCCTTTCTTATCATTTTCATTCCATGAAAACTCATTCCCATCTCGGTTGTTTTCATATCATCGTCAGCAATTGAGAACAACTATGAAGCCTTTATAAAGAAAAGAAATTTAGTATGCAATTTTATTCATCATCATCTTCAGTTCTTCCAAGAAAGTAATAAGAAGAAAGTATTTGAAAAAGTAAAATTTTTCGAGACACTTGCAATTATTTTTATTCAAAGTACAAGCAGCTTTTATTGTAACTTGCTGATCTCCGGTGCCAAAATATTTGTAATACTCCTTATTAGACAAGATCTGATGTAATTGAAGATCTTCAGTCTTTACAAAGTTAGAGCCAGTTCATCTACTGAATGTCAATGCTGATTGTCTAATGAATGGAGCCGCTATTTAAAGATTCGTTAATGAATAGGAGGAACCTAGTGTGTGTGTGTTAACACAGCAAGCACAGCACACATAAAGAGTTGGTGCCTGTGCTTGTGATGAACCAAGGCCTGGCCATGTCGCTGTCCAGAGTGCGCTTTGACGCTGGGATGTGCGTCACCTGTGGCCAACTGCATGAAGCTCATGGGACCCACCTGTATGACTACCATCAACAGGTAATACATTTGTAAATGATGTTTACCACTTTTTTTTTAATAACTATAAGGCTAGTTCAAAATATCATTACCGAATTTTTTTTTTTTTAACAGTGTAATTTTTTTTCCAATTTAAAAAAATGGCATTACAGTTTTTTTTTAAAATAACTACATTTTTTTTTCCAAATTTTAAAAAATAGCACTTCTGAGTTATTGTTTTTTTTTAATTAGTGCAAATTTTAATAAAAATGCCTTTGCTTAACCAGGGATTAAGAAAAACTTACTAGTAAAATGAAAACCTAGTATATTGAGTACTTGAACATAAGACATAATTTTCTGTTTAAAATTAGGTGGACGAGGACCTGATGTGTCAGATATGCCTGCAGCCTCTAGTCACCCCTGTGGACACGCTGTGTGGGCACACGTTCTGCAGCAGGTGTATCCACAACTACCTAGCATTACAACAACAGTGCCCCATTGACCGCAAAGTATTAACCCTCTCTGACTGTCAGCCGTCAAGTATTTTAGTTCGTAGGTAAGTCGTACCTAGTCCTCGTGTTTAAGTGGAGTTTTCTCATTTTCTGTTTTAATTTAAGTGGGGTTGTCCACACATGATGGAACACACCGTGCGAGGGGGGCTGGGAAGCATTCACAAGACAAGGAGTGGGAGAGTCTCATATATTATATATGTATATATATATGTATATATATGTATATATACATATATTAGGTTGTTGCTCGTAATTTTTAAACTCCACTAATTTCAAATAAAATTATACCACAAAAAACAGGATTTTTTTCCCTACACATTGATACCAATTTTGTGTCTCTAGCTTAATTAGGAGCTAAGATATGGCCTTTTAAAAATTTGTGGGCGTGGCTAAAACAGCTTAGACCTTCGTCATTCAAGTCAATGTTACATAAGCAAAAAAGTTGGCACCGATGGTTTTTTCATTGCATCATCACGGATTCGCATTTTTCGAAAAATTAAAAATTATAATTTTATTGCATCATCCGGGATTCGCATTTTTTTTAAACTAAAAAATTATAATCAAACTTAAAGCCTAAGTTATACTGGACTGGATGTGATTGACTGAGTAATTAATTGTCATTCATGATTCATATATTATTATTGACTTATTACTCCGTGTAAAAAAAAATAATGTAGGTTTAAAATAAACTAGATCTAGTTATTGTAAATCGATTTATTAATATTTAATACTGTCACTGCTATTATTATTTAATAGGAATGCACACCCATATTACTGCACAAGTTCTTTAATCCAACAGTAATTAACGATATTACTTGGGTAGATGAAGTAGAGTAGACCTACACACACACGACAAATGGAAGTAGCAACTGGTTGCCTTTACGTTACTTTCTCAGCGCCCCCCCCCCCCCCCCCCCCCCCCCACGTACTGGATATTCAGTGACTATATCACTCAGTAAGCCATAATAAAATTATAGAACAAAATAAAAAGAAAACAGCTGTCAAAGTGTGTACCAGTGTTTATTACTACTAAATGCAATGTTAATTGTTAGAATGTGAGTAACACAACATACTGACATTTCAATGTTTGCTAAAAGAAATATAAATGATTAAAATACAGTAATCAGATTACCACATGAATTTTAATTTTGTCTAATAAAATAGAAACATTTAGGAGAATGGCAAAGAAAAAAAAAGATTTCTTGCAATAATTTAAAAATATGTTTATCAGAGCAAAGAAATAAATTACATAGTGACAACAGAAATTTAGCCCTTGTATAATCTACGATCAACACAGTACTGTAAAACAGTTAAATAATCATAATTAGTGTGAAGAAACAAATCTACAGTACAAGAAATCAACCTCGTCTCATTACGATCCCTCTTAAGAAGAAAAGTAGTATTAAATATCAAGGAATAAACATTAAAATATTGGTTTAAAGTATAATTACTAGTAAATCTAACCCATTCATTGAATGTATGCTGGAAAAAAATAGGTGACGAAAAATTACTTGGACCACTTTAGTCTCTTTAGTTTTAAAACAATTATCTAATTATAATACATATTCAGATACAATTAGCACATCTAAGGAAAAGAAATACAATTTAAAAAGCGTTAGTACTCGTGTGATAAATCAGTTGGACCAACATTTATGAAGCACATTAACTACTGATTCTAGGATTATCTAGCTGATTTCAATTACCCTGAAAAATAAGTTAAGTAATTAATTAAAATGTAATTTTTTTTACACTATGAACACTAAACTTAATTATAAACATTGTTAGTATTAGTTTTCAAAATAAGTTTACAATTCACAGCAATCATTTATTTCAGTAACAATTTACAAAAACACTAATGTTTAAAAAATAAAGTTCATTTGTATACTAAAAATGAAAGAAGTACTCTGATTAGCTATTATTCAGAACGTAAAACAAGATTCCTACAAAGTCAACAACCAGTGATTCTGTCAGATGACTGAAATCCTCAGCATTATCCTCACCCTCTGCCCAGTAGCTTATGGTGTAAAGAGCTGTCTTTTGTTTTGTTGCTGGCACCCTTTTAATAGTCCTTCCAGTGTATTACGACACACCCTGATCACCTTGCTCCCACTTATGAGTCAGCTAGACACCAATCAGATACCTCTCTAGCTGTCGCACCAAGAAAGGCTCAGTAGAAGTCAACAACGCTTCCATGACTTTAAGAAACAGAGTACATTTGATCGCCACATTGCGTTATTGTAAATGAGCTTTATCAAAGGACCAGAAATTAATTTCCCAATCAGCCTGAGTGCTTGCGGCGCTGCATGAGAACCCCAGGCTTCTTGAGATCTGCAAGCAGTTGAATGTAGATTTTAGTTATGTCCCAGCAGCCACATCATTCTCTTTAAGACGAGCCTTGAATAAAGCTGGATCTCCATGAAAACTATACCTGAAAAGAGAAGGGCAAATGGAATTAGAATTTAGCAGACCGTTTCACAAAACATATATCTAGCACAACATATTGTGAAGTACATAAAATAATTATAGAAATTAGAAATAAATTCAGTCTTCATACTTACAGAATGTACTTCCACCTGAGACATTGAACATAGAAAGGGCTGTACACAAGTTCCACCAACCTATTCCCGGTCACAAGCCTCTGTTCTCCTCAGCCGCTTTATGTCAGCCATCAAGTTGCTGATTTCATTCATTAGCAATCCTCTTTACACCTTGTTGGTCCTGCCTATAAGCAAATAAGATGTACAAAGAAAACAAATTAACCCAAGTTGTAGGCACACAAGTCTAGAATTAAATTAATATTAATAATACAATTATCAAGTACTAAAATTGTCCTTAATAAAGAGGTCTAAGGGCATAGGGCTTTATAAAATTATATTATTACACAGGCTTATATTAATTTAAACATATACTATAGCCTACTTGATGAAGAATTATACCTGAACTAGTCTAAATCTATTCTTAACCATTTAACAATGTCTCACTATTTTTACAAGATCTAGCTAGACTAGTACTTATAGGAAATAGAATAGTTTCGGCAAAAATAAAAAAATAATAAAAACATTACTGTAACTGAAAATGTGTAAAAATATTACTAAAAAATTAATGTAGCATCTAGACTCCAGACCTAATCAAACAATGATTAAATGATTGTGTTCAACTAAATGTACTGAATTAAAATAAATAGGCTAATTATTAGGCCTAGGCCTACTTAATGTCTTAATACTTTGCAGAATTAGATGAACACTTATAATTAATAATTAATTAACTTATCTAGATTCTAGATCTAAATCTAGATTCTATATCTAAATTAACTAGCGCCTATTTCTTATTAGAATCTAGAACTAGATCTAGATTAGTATAGGCCCTATTGGCTATTACTACTATTAGATTAAAATAAGATCTAGATCTAGAATTAAACTAGATTTAGATCTAGGCCTAAAGCTAGATAGTAGATTATGTTTAATTTTTGTTTATCTAATAATATCTAGATCTAGAAATAACGATTTAAAATATAAATAGGCCTAGTGTCCAATATAGATCTAGATTCTAGATCTATAGATAGATCTATAAATAAAACTGATACTGATAGTATACTTGATTGAAATGATGTCTTGAATTTCAAGTAGAATCTAGATTTTCTAGTAGTTAGATCTAGACTGTGGCAACACACTGAAAACACGCAAAAAAAAACACAACTGAATTAATTATGTAGGGCCTAAACCCTATTTTAACACTCTAAAAATTACAAAGATATCTACGACTTAAGTTTTTATAACATACTGTGCGAATATTTAATAATTATTACATTATAAAGAAGTCACTACAAAATGGCGCGAAAAATCGATCTTTGCTAACACGATTTGTTCTCCCTTATTGTTAAGGTCAAGATGACATTTTAATTATGGAATAGACAGAGCTAACATTAAAGTAATTAAACAAGAGGTTAAATTATAAAAACAGGTGATAATTTAAAATTTAATTAATTAATAATTATTACCTTGTAATGACGCTGAATTCCTTGAGTAAGAAAATAAAATCAAACACAAAGAAATTCTACGGGCGGCCAGTCTACATGTCTCGATGCCTTTTCAAAAGTACACACCGTGTAAAAGTGGCCAGCTGCTTCCATGTTGACCTGCATTTAATAGCTTACATGGACAATGAGTTCAACCGGAAGTCAGCCAAATCGCTCCGACGTGGTCGCCATGAATTCCCTAGCAATGGCGGTTGTTAGGCAAGCCGTGCAACAACCTACATATATATATGTATTTTTACTTATTTAAGGAAATTTTTTTTGAAAAATGTTAATTTAAATTAGAATTGTTATTTTTAGATAAAAGATTAATTTTCATGTCAAATGTCAGACTGTATTATTTGGAAAAGTGAGGGTGCAAAAAGGGCTATAATAACACTATGCATTTGTGGAAAATATTTTTCTGTGTTTTACACTACTGGTTTTTTTTTTATTGCTTTTCTTTTCTAAATGATGAAAGTAAGTTTTGAAAAGCTTTTGATTCCCTTATTTGCCTTATAATGTGTCCTCTGCACTGAGGTAAAAAGACAATGATACCCTGATCTGCAGTATACAATATGAGCAAAACTAGTCTTATGCTGTTTATATTTTCCCTTCTTTTTGTCTCAAAATGTTGTCTGGAACTCCATGTTCATTAAATTTTACTCTTCAACCCATCCAGACATTTTTATAGGCATTTTATATATCTATATCATATATATATACATATAGATATATATATTAACCCCTACTTTTCACTAAATCAATCCTGTTTTTCTTACTTAAGGTTTCCACTGTAATCCTAATTTATGATTATAAAATGTTTCTGAAGCACTTAGTTAAACTAATATTTAGAAAACAATCTCTCAACGTTTCCCAAAACCTTTGGTCTATTTTAAGCAACAAAGACAACACAATCGACACGTAAAATTACGTGACATTTTTTCTTGTTGTTAGTCACCAAAATTTCTGGTGGGGAAAAAAACCCTTCTGACACATCCCTTCTTCTTTAGTCCCTTGATGTTTTTATGTTACTGGTATGACAACATCCATAATCCATTAATAGCTTCTGACTACACTGGGCTTGTGGGGGGCTGGGTATTCTTGCAGTATTGATCTGATCCACAACCCAAGGGGAAGAACTGCATTGATTATTTCGTTAATTCGATTTTATTTTTAAAGGACAATTATCTCTATTTTTCTGTTTACTTGATTTAAAAATAACATAAAAATTTTCCCTATTAGTTTAAAGTAACTTGTGTGTAATTTTCTAGCTTAAAGATAGGTAACTATCTATATATCTTTGGTTGAAACACTGTTTTTTTTATGGTTTCTATTTCAAAATTATTGCTTCAATTATTTATATTAAAAAAAAAGCTTAGAACAATTTTGTGATGGTTGTCTATATGGCTCGTGGGATTATGGCTAATAAGATAATATGGCTAGTGGGATATAACAAAGATGTATCTGTGACATCTGTAGGGATGGTGTAGCCAGTCCAGCCATCATGACTTGAGTTGACTTAAGTCAGGTACCCAAATAAGGCTGAGTGGTCAGTGAACCGGAACATCAGGACAGAAATCACCCTAGTTGTTTTCTGTTTGCTTCTGATCAACTTTACACTGTAAAATTGTTGCCTGTTTCCTATCCGAGGTCTAATTTATACTATTTGTGACAGACCAAACCTTGCATGTCTTGTTATACTGTTTGTGAGAGACCTTACATTGTCCATTGATATGCTGTGAGAAACCTTTCAAAGTCTTGTTATAGTGTTTGTTACAGCCTTTAAATATATAGTTACACCATTTGTGACAGCCTTAAAATATCTAGTTACATTTGTGACAACCTTAAAATCTGTAGTTACATTTGTGACAACCTAAAAATCTGTAGTTACACCATTTGTGACAGCCTTAAAATCTGTAGTTACACCATTTGTGACAGCCTTAAAATCTGTAGTTACACCATTTGTGACAGCCTTAAAATCTGTAGTTACACCATTTGTGACAACCTTAAAATATCTAGTTACATTTGTGACAACCTTAAAATCTGTAGTTACACCATTTGTGACAGCCTTAAAATAACTAGTTACATTTGTGATAATCTTAAAATCTGTAGTTAGACCATTTGTGACATCCTTAAAATATCTAGTTACACTATTTGTGACAGCCTTAAAATATCAAGTTACACCATTTGTGACAACTTTAAAATCTGTAGTTACACCATTTGTGACAACCTTAAAATAGTTACACCATTTGTGACAGCCTTAAAATATCTAGTTACACTATGACAGTTTTTAAAATATCCTAAAGGGCAGTATTGAATGTCCAGATAATCCTTTTCTTTACTACCTGATAATATCCTGACGCGGCTGACCTTTGAGGAGATTAAGACCGGTCTCTAGATTAAGCTCTCTATTTCCTGCCCTCTATAGTTCCAGTCTGTCCGTGGTTGGAGACTAATCCTAATTTAATAAGATACTGCTGGGTTGTTTTATTTTTTAAAATTTTTATATTAGAATAACATTTTTTTTATTTGAATTAAGTCTCCGTGAAATAAGGTTATAATTGGATTTTATATTCAAACACCATTTATACAAGCATAACCTACCAGATAAAGACAAATATGGTGTAAGATAAAACGTTTACAGATTTTATAATTTACTCGTTAGTTATGGTGGGTTAGTTTAGTTTCTGTTGGTGCCGTACAGATAGTATGGTTCTATATTATACGACTTTCAAATGGACAGCCACTGAGCCATGCGCGCCCTTCTAGAACTATCCCCCTCCCCCAACATGTATCATATACCCGTTACACTGATGGTGTAAAAAAAAAAAAAGTAAAGTTTCCCTTTCAAACCTGACGGTCTATGGGGCAAGTGAAGTAGAGTTCACTTGTTTCTGTGACCTCGGCATATGAAGAGATAGTGTGGTCAGCACTATGCCCAGCCGCCTTTACTTTCCCTAACGTGAGTTAGGTACCCATCAGAGTTGGGTGGACTCAGGGACGGTCTACTGACTTGAACCCGGATTCGAACTCGAGACTAACGGGTTAGCAGTCCAGCTCTCTACCGCTAGACCACTCCGTCCCACCCACTGATGGTGTAACGGTCCCAGTAAAATACATACTCAACGAGTGCTGTACTTTTTGGATCCAGTGTTTCTTTCGGGCATTTCTTCAGGGGCGGGGGGGGGGGCTCCCCCTCCCGAAGAGTTTACCGCCCCCCCCTCCTCGAAGAGAGTTTACCGCCACCCCTCCCCGAAGAGTTTACCGCCCCCCCCCCCCCCCGAAAAGAGTTTACCGCCGCCCCTCCCCCGAACGAAATAGAATTTATATAGAAAATATATACTTTTAACAGTGTGTCGTCGTCGTCGTCCCCCCCCCCCCCCCCCGGAGAAAAAAGTCTGGAAGAAACACTGGTTCGATCTTTAACCTGAAAGTCTGCAATTTAGTTCCCAGGGTATGTTGGGTACCATCTGCGGGTCATAGAATGTAAAGTCGGCTGGGTTTCGCGCTGACCCCCCCCCCCCCCATTCATGCTGAGGTCAAAGAAACCAATCAACTCTACTTCATCTGGCCCCCAACTTGACATGTACACACCTTGTACCGCGTGTACGACAACCAGTCAAGTTAATCAACAGGGTAACAGATCAGCATACAAAATACTGCACTCATTCATTTTTTTCGTTTTTTATTTCGTCCAAGTTTTAAATAGTAACGGCCCCTTTGTCAGTTTTCCACATGAATAAATGGCGGACTTAACTCAATAGCTCGTTACGTTGGCTGGTCGGATGTGGATAGATTTTTTTTTAGTGAACCGGCTGAGAGCCGGCATGAGAGCTGTGTGTGGAAGCGTCGAGCATTCAGGGGAAACCGGTGCACCGGTTCAGCATTTCCGGCGGGGAGGAAAAAACCGTGTCGTGATGTGGGGCGTAATGTGGTCTATTGTCTGCCTCACTATAGTCGGTCACTCGGTCAGTCAGTGTCCCTGCAGTCAGTCAGCCTCTCTATAGTCAGTCAGCCTCCCTATAGTCAGCCAGCCTCTCTATAGTCAGCCAGCCTCCCTACAGTCAGTCAGCCTCCCTATAGTCAGCCAGCCTTTCTATAGTCAGCCAGCCTCTCTATAGTCAGCCAGCCTTTCTATAGTCAGCCAGCCTCTCTACAGTCAGCCAGCCTCTCTATAGTCAGTCAACCTCTCTATAGTCAGCCTCCCTACACAGTCAGCACTCAGTTTAGCATGGGTAATTGCTGATGTAGAATACGATACGATACTCCTGCTAGCCTCTGAGAATTTAAACTCCTCTAGAGTTTTTATTTTTAGCCCGCGTCTTTTCTTTTTTTTAAACTTTATTATCTTTTCAGTTTTCTCTGAAATTATTTTCTTTCGGTCCTTAATCGTTCATCGACTAACGCCATCTTTGATTTGATTCTTACCCCAAAGGCCAAATGTGTACCTAGCCGTCTATGTCCTGTACAATTAGAGTTATCGTTCTTGGCATAGACACCCCCCTCCCTCCCTCCCTGCTCTCCTTGAGCAGACGTTAAGGACTGTTGGTTTAGTTTAAATCAATCCGTAGTCTGGCCGACTTTTTCATTGACCCTAATCAAGTGAACGACATCTGAAGTGAGATGGTAGGGTTTTTTTTTTCTTCCCTGAGCTGGTTATCTGCAATTTTTAAAGATCTGCAATTTCTGGGGATCTATCAATTCTAGAATTTTTTGACATCTGAAGTGGGATGGTAGGTTTTTTTTTTCTTCCCTGATCTGGTTATCTGCAATTTTTGAAGATCTGCAATTTCTGGGGATCTATCAGTTCTGGGAGTTTTTGGGGTGGATGGTCTCCTACTATCTTAGAAGACTTTTTCTTTCACTAGTCTGCTGTTAGGTTCTGGTAAACTATGGAGAAAATGCACCTGAAAACCTGACACATGGACTTAGTTGAAAAGACAACCCAAATGTTGTAGTAGATTGACACTATGATTTAAACTTGGCGATTGATTGAAGAACAATGACACGTTTTTGGTCGATGTTTTAATAATTATAGACTCAGTAAAATATGCGACTTTTTAACACAACTCACCACGAATTACATGTTTATTTCCAAGAAAATACAGTGGTACCTTGAGATATTAGTTTAATTCGTTTCTTAACGTTTTTATCCCAGTCTTTTTTATATATAAGAAAGGTGTATTTTTATATGAAAAAAATTATTATT